CAGAAAACGCGCTGTTGCTCCTTCACTCCTCCTACACCACACAGGGCACCGCATGACGGAAAGCAAACGTTCCACTCGATTTATTTCATTATTTCATAAGCAATGTTAAGCTTGCAATTTCCCATGGTCACGGCTGATTATTATTAGCAACAAAGCATCACTTCACATTAGACCCCAAATTTTACCGGCCTCAGAAGTGGTCCATCCCAGCAGGAAGAGTCGTGAGCATGAGCGATGGATGCGTGCACGTGTGGATTCCCCCTCCAACCCATTGTTCTGCCACAGAATTTAAGAAGATGAACCTTCGTCCCCCCCGGCAAACGTACATATGTACACACACAGCTCTCTACATAGAGCCCAGCCCGTAAACACAAAGCCCAACACACACATGTCTGAGCGGGTGGGTGACTGTAGAGACAGCCCTCGGTCTGATTTCCAAAGCACTACGTTATTCAGGAATTCAAGCCGTGGTCATCATAGCCCTGATGTTCATCACCTGAAGTGCGATTTACATTTGATCAATAACGAACCAGTTGTTTCAAAAGGAAAACTAACTCCACGCTAGAGATGTTCTTTAAAACCCTAAAGTGGAACAAAGAGCTTGCTAACATGGCACACAACCTCTCTTGCAGGGGAGAAACTGGTGGCAGGACAAACTGACTGTGTCCAGATAACCAAGGTTAATGCTGATTATAAAAAATAGTAATCAAAATAACGTTCATAAAACCACCCCCACTTTACCCACCCGTCCCAAGAGATGAACGAGGACTGCAGTCTGCTCACCAACTCCCCATCGCTCCTCCCCGGGGCACACCAGGAGCTGGGCAAGAGCCACCAGCAGCAGCAGGGAAACAGAGGCTAGGGAGAGCTGGTGGCCAGCATGTAGAAGGTCACCTTGACACATCAGGCTGTGCTCCACAAGAAGTCACAGACAACACGTGATGAAGACCAAGCAGCAACAGGAAACCATCTTCTGTGGTCCCAGGGAGTCTGGGGGACACGGGTGGCCTCGCAGGGATGGCAGAGGTGGCCACTCTTGACAAGGCCCAGCTCTTTGCCAAGAGATCCCAGCTTTGGCATGGACCCCTGCCTGTCACTTTGTGGGAAAGCAATGCCATGGTGACTGGGTACAGAAGGCCACTGGGACACATTTTATTAGAAGCAAAGAATAATAATTAAAAAAAGAAGAAAACCAGGGGTCCTTTTTTTTTTTTTTTTTTCCTGATTTTAAAACAGGGTTATAGATCTCTTTTGCAGAAAGGAACACGCCATTTATTTCCACTCCTTCTAGGAATCTCAACTATTGTATGCTTATTAAAGGAAACCCATAAAATATGTCTCCCAGTGTCTTTAACACATGCTTTACAAGAATCCCCTAAACTCTAACAAATGGCATTATTTTTCTCAGTAAGCACCTAAGAGAATGGCCCCATCCAGTACACGTTATGTCTGCTTCCCCCTAGAAAGGCTCCACTTTTCTACGCGCTCCCTGTACGCTCCATCACTCCAGATGTCCTGAGTACCTGCATTTTCCAGCAAGAGACAACTTGCCCAAACGCAGACATCTCAGCCCAATTTGCTGAGTAACAAGAAGCACAATGCCACCCAGATGCACCCCACGGGAGATGCTCTCCCTTCCCGGGATGCACAGTACGGGTACCGCCGGCAAGCAACACCCTGCTTTAAAAGTAAGGAAAGGTTCCCCCAAAAGACTGAGCAATCTCTCCTGCACAAATACGTATCTTACAGGGTGCTAATCTGGGTTACATCAGCACGTACCCCAAATAATTTTGCTGAATTCGGCAAATTTCCTCCACTGGTGAAACGAGGATGAGACTTTGCTCCCATGATGCAGAGGACTAAATAGAGCAACTTCCAAACACTCCTTGAGACGAAAATGCCTGACTTTGGATTCTCATTTTGCTGCAAAGTACCTCAAGCGTAAACCTGTTTTTCAGGAAAATTAAAACGCAATGCATTGAATTCCTTTTCTTTTTTAATTAAAAAACAAAACAAAACAAAAAACAGAACAAATCAAACAAAACAAACCCAAAACCAAGTTCCTTAGAAAATCACCATTTAAGCTATGGGGCAAAACAAACATTTTAATGAACTATTTAAAAAAAGATTCTTGTGCAGTGGTACAGAAGAATATGCAGTGCCCTCACAGTAATGCACCTTCCATGTAACACCAACCCTTTCAGGAAGCTGAAAAATACAACACTAAAGGATTGAGCTCTGCAAATCTGAAAATCACCCGTTAGACACATAAAGGTGTTGCTGATCTAAGAAAATTTTACAATTTTTGCTCACTGTTGTAGAAAACCGTATTACATTTTTGCCTGGAATCTACAGCCACCTACCTGCAACAGATTCTCCACCAGGAACACAAGTAAGCAGTTTTTACAAAAAGGTTATATTTAGCAATTACACAAGGAATCCCCAAAACCTCCCGGGGGCAAATAATGAGAGACAACCCCACCCCACCCCAAAGTATGCATTTACATGGAAACTTTGAATATATGAATGCAAATGTCAATGCAAAACAGGGTAACGGTTATATCTGCAAACTGTGATCTCTCGAATTCCTCCTTGTGGAAGTTTTTCTTTTCTAATGGTCAACATCAAAGATCATTAGGATCCTCTAAAAAGCTCCGCCGCTCGCTCTCTCGGCCTCCAGCAAACACACCCATACGTGCGTATGCACACACCAAATAAACTCGCCGTGTTAATGGAGAGAAGTTTCCATGGTGCAGTATCTATATGTGATGGGAACATGATACAGAGCCAACAGACATATTTAGTGTACGCTGTCCTGGTAGTTACAGAAGAATTTTAATGTCGATGAAATATCAGGGATGTTGCATTCGCTCGGCTCTACCCTGCAGCCAAGTGACTTAAAGAAATTTAACTCTACGGGTAAGAAAAACAATAAACCAAAACACCTTCCACTTCTGCACAAGTTTTCCAAGCTGCCTGCAAAGTTTTTTTTCCGCTTCCTCTCCCCGGTGAGTCCCCTGCCGCAGCGCCGGCTGTCCCCCTGCCCGCCTCGCGCACGCACCCCGGTGCAAAGCCCCCTCTGCTCCCGGGAAGGAGAGGACCCACATTCGGCACACGCTGTTGGCAAAGGCACGGCACGGCAGCGGACGTGGATGCGTCTGTCTGTCCGCAGCTGCGCTCCATGTGGTCTAATTCATTTAACAGATTTACTTCTTTAAATGGGGTATCTGACAGGATTTTGCTAGCGAGATCCATAGCAGCTGATGCGCTCTAAATTCATTTAGCTGGCGGACCCGCTCCTCCGCCGCTGCCTCCCGGAGTATTCTTTCGAGCAAGCTTCATTTCCACAGCCAGGTTATATCGATAAAAAAAAAAAAAGATGTCTCTGAGCCTTGCCATCTCACCTGCCTCCCCCCCCTTCCCACCTCGGCCCCCCGGGATAATTATATTACCGGCTTACACACATACACATCCATACACGTTCCCACCTAGAGCCGCTTCCCCTACGGACCCAAAAGGAGGGAGAGGCGATGCTGAACAATGAAAGGAGCTTACGGCACAAAAAGTAGCGCGGTCGGGGGTGGATCAGAAGGAGAGGGGGGGAGACAGATAAGAGATCACGCTCGTAGTGCAAGGAAGACACGGCGTCTGCCTTCAGTGGGAATCGTCCTACCCTCGCAAACGCCAACATAAAAGACACACTTGCAGCATATTTCAAAACCAAAGAGCGATGGATTTACAAGGCAGGTTGATTTTATGATGACTTTTATTGAAAAGGTACGCTGGGTTTAGGCAGATGCCTTTTAGCGCCGGTAAGTTAGCACAGTGCCTAATTCAAGGAGACAGCCTGAGGAAGCAGCGCCGACAGGGGAGAGAGAGCCACAATGTCTCTATTACTCTCCTCGGCATCATAAAGGGGAGCAGAAAAATCACGTCTGAAAGGGAGAGGAAGGAGTGGGGCAGCAGGTTTTCCTTGCAAAAAAAAATAATAAAATATAGTCATAATAACAACAACAACAACAACAATAAAACTGTTTTCCAGGGAGAAAATTCAGCAGAACAAAGGAGCCCACGTGAAAAGCAAACCTCTCCTTGGTCCACACGCCTGGGCTTACAGGAAAGCTCTAACCATAAGTTAGTGCTCTGCTTCGGGGTCCCACGCTCTGCCGCCCCCAGACCACCCCCCATCGCGGGTCACCTCCCAGCTCAGCAAAGCTGGAAGCCTGTCCTTCCCGGGGGACAGCTCTGCCCCTCCGTGTGGGCAACACCGCAAGGGACATGGTGATGGGGGGAGCAGGGCCACGAGCGTGTGGGCTGGTTTCCTTCGGTCCAACCACCGACCCGCCAAAGGGCACATCGCATTTCAACAGGCGCCAAAGGGAGGGAAACGGGCAGGGAAACGACGTGGTGCAACAGCTTGCTGAATTGCAAGAACGGCTTCGGGTTTACGTCTGGAAGAGGGAGCTCGGTGGCCAAAAATATTCTGAAGTTAACCAGGGGAAAAGGCACTTTTGTCCTAACCTGAGGCACCAATCCTGAAGGTGATGCGTTTGCTCTAAGAACGGTGTGCACGAAGAAAAGGTCGGAAAGAAATAGCCGAAGCAGCAGGGGATACGCCTTCACTGTGAGCTCTGGGAAAGTTTCTGGCTGCACGCTCCAGCTGAATCCCTGTTCACACACATGTAATCCCAGTTTACACGCATATATGTACCAGCACCTGTAGCCTCGCACTGGGGCACGGACATCTTTCTGCATGGTCAACTTTGCCTCTCCAGCTGTGAGCTGGAAGACAAGTTTCCTTCGAGAGCACCTCACCTTAAAATCTGTCAATGTCCATTTAGACGAGACAAGGCGATACCGCGTGGCTGAGCTTGGCAGGCAGGGAAGGGTGGTTTCCCTCCGCCGTCAGCAAGAACCACAGCACTGCAGGACAATCACCTGTTGAGTATCTCAACAAGGCGCAACTAAAGAAGAACCAACAAGTCAACGGAGGTACTTACATCTGTCACTTCGGTCTTCGGGACTGGATGAGGTCTCCCGGTCAGAAATGAGGCCAGAAACGGCAAAGATCTTCTTCCCCGTATCATCAACTTTGAGGGAGCCGGGGGAGCTGGAGGGCAGCTGCGTCCCAAACTCATACTCCTTCCCATCAGCGTCCGAGAAGCGCAGATGGGGTGAGTCAGTGTCATGGCAGTTTTTCAGGCGCTTGGCCGGTGTAAAGGCTGACTGGTAGCTCTCCCGGTCTTCAGTAGATGCAAAGGGGCGGAAAGCCCCAACGCCGCTGTGGTTCAACATACTGATCGGGGTGCAGTCCAGGTTGGGGGGTGCAAACTGGGGGTGGAGGTGAAGCAAGGATGGAGGAAAGTCACGGTTTGCAAATGCTCCCGGCACACCACCTTGCCGGTGGTACATGGAGGCAAAAGTATATGAGCCATTGGTAAAGGGAATATGCACGTCCTTATCTGCTGACACGGGGACCCCAAAAGGCCTCGGCTGCTGGCAGGGAATGGAAGCATCACGGCTGGCTTCGGCGGTGGAGGCGAGAACCATCAGCGCCGGGGAGGCCAGCGGGTTGGGGAGATAGGGTGAGTTCTCCATCTTGAATGCTGCCCGGTGTAAGTCCATCGGAGTCTCTTTCCTCAGCAGGATCACAAGCGGAACGATCTTCCCTGGAAGGAAAGCAAAGCGATGCCTGGGAACGGAGCGGGGAAAATTATTGGAGCATCATCACCCTCCGAACGCTGCAAGGGAACAGAAAAGAAAAGAAAACACAGCGGGTTAGGTTTCTGCGCTCATCTCCCTGGGACGCTCCGGCAGCAGGGTGGCCACATGTGTTACAGCCCACCGGCCGGAGACGCGCCACTGTTCTCATTCAAGAAAATCAATAGACAACTTCACACACTAGTGGAATCAGCTCTGGCCCTCCAGGTTAAAGGGGATCATCCGGCGCAGATGAATGAAAGGCAAACCAAACATAATAACATGCAGATTTAATAACCCGCTAATAAACAAGGTTCGGTCTAAAATTGAGATAGTGACTCCAAATTATAATTGGAATTTTATATGGCAAAAGAGGCATGTACACATAATTGCAATAAACTTAAGAAAGCCCACACATACACACGCCACTGTTTGCTTGGGGGGGGGTGTGCGTCTGGAACCGACATAAAAATATCTGTTGTACATAGTTACCCAAATAAGCCAGCCTGCATGGTTATACTAACACGACGCCTAAGACATACATCACAGACATGTATTTTCTCTCACTCGCACTGCATATGGGTAGGTAAGTACTTGCACACACAGTACTCCATACCATCATGTGTGTATATATATACACACACTGTTGGAATGTAGGAATGTGACTGTGTATGTGTGCATGTGTGTAATGCACAAACACCCACGCGGGCACGCACGGCCCCTGTTAGCCAAAGGAGAAGAGCCTTCCCCAGTAAAACGCCTGGCGTCTCTGACAATATTTAAAATCCTAATGGGTGCTTCTGCCATCTGATCTCTGCAAGCGTCTGCCTTTCGGGTCGGGGACAAGAGAGAATGGATCAGTAATTTTAGTTCCTAATGCACTCACTCTTAAGTAGATTTGTAAACTGCCCTGGATGCGCCATTAACATTTAGAGGGAAATGTTAACAAAATCTCTGCCTCGCATCTCACCGAGCCTCCTAGGTTGGCTGCAGCCACCCAGCCAGCCACAACCCCCTCCCAGGGTTGAAAGAAGGGAAAACGCTCCTTTCTGTATCTCCCCCACTTCGCTCCGGCTTTTTGTGTTGTTATTTTCTCCCCCAATCAATCTCGTGTCTTTTCTTTTAAGCTTCCGCCGCCTGCCATTCAGGCCCCACAACCCAGCTTAAAATACAAGGACTATAACTTTGAAACAATATACTAGCCGCCGGAGCTCAAAGGGCCAGAAAAATCATATAATAATAAAAAGCTGTTACAAATTGTGCCTCTTAAATCCAGAGG